GGGGCCAGGAAGATGGCACAGTGGAATAAGTGCTTCCCTTGTAAGCACAAGGGCCTGAGTTCAATCCTGGGTTCCACCAAAAGGAAAAAAAGAGGTCAGGGATATGGCTCAGTAGAATAAGCACTTTCCTGGCAAGTGCAAGGGCCTGAGTTCAATCCCTGATTCTGGTGGCGGAGGGGAAAAGCAACTTTACCTTATTTGGAGAGCAATTGGCACACTTCACATAGGAAAGGCAGGACACACTTTATAGTTCAATTTCAATAAATTTGATGTATTGTGTTTTATTGTGGAGATCAATTTTATAACAATCTGGGGTTTGGGGAGATGGCTTAGTAGAATAAGCACTTCCCTGGAAAGCGCAAGGACCTGAGTTCAATCCCCAGATCCACAAAAATAGATAAATAAATAAATAAATTTATAACAATGTTCTCTTATCTTTGTCCTGTAGCCTCTTCAGTTTCACTGTGGTTTGAGTCAACATACTTTTTTTGGTGTTTTTGAGACATGGTCTCATTATGTAGTTCATTATGAGCTCAATTTGTAGCCCACAAGCTGGTCTCTTACCTCTTCCTGCCTCAGCTTCCTGAGTGCTTGGATTATAGGTGTGCACCATCACACCTGGTTTTGGGCTGGCACAACTTGCCTGGGGTTTCAGGGCCTCCATGGCATGCAGTACTAGGGATTAAACTGGGGTCTGTGAGACTGCCAAACTATCTTCCCAGCCCAGAAAGCATGTTTTTAACCTTTCCATGTTAGGGAATAGTACTTTTCTGCCATTACCTTACTAGTTCTCCTTCCAGTAGGAAAATTAGAACCTGGGAGATTTAAATGTTACTGTTTCTTTGAAACTTTTTATTCCAGTGTTCTTTGACTCAGTAGATGTGATTTTGACCCACAAATCTGAGGATTGGGATTCTAATCCTGAATCTTGATTCCTTTTGTATACTCTCAGATCAGACAGGTGGATGAGCTAAGGATTAAATATTAGATTTGAAAGTGCAAGGTCCTGAGTTCAATTCCCAGTACCACAAGGAAAAAAAAAAAAAACATGCACAAAAGAAAAATATTGAACTTGTGAAAATTTGCAGAATATTTAAATTTCTGCTTACAAGGTTTGTTTAAAAATTGTTGACCCAAATTGTCTTGTTTTTATTAAAGTTAAAAAAGAAGAAAAAAAAAGGCATAAGTCATCCTCCTCTTCCTCCTCCTCGTCCAGTGGTTCAGATAGCTCCAGTGACTCTCAGTCTTCTGATTCTTCTGATTCTGAAAGTGCTTCTGAAGAGAAATCAAAAAAAAGAAAAAAGAAACACAGAAAAAATTCCCGAAAACACAAGAAAGAAAAGAAGAAGAGAAAGAAAAGCAAGAAAAGGTCTTTGCTTTTTATGCTACTAGCTTTATATTCTGATTCTTTGTTTACACATAAGTTTATTAAGATTTTGAGTCAATTATGTGGGAGCACTAGAAGAAAAGTATTTTAATTGAAGACCAGTTTTTTTATTATGCAATTAAATTTGGGTACATTACTTTCCATTTTTAACGAAACTCTCAATGCATTGAATTCAGTGTATTCATTGAATAAAGTGATAGCTTTTGGATTTTTCTGTCCTTGGATTTTGTTTCTTTTTTGTTTTGTTTCATTTTTAGATAGGGTGTCAGGCACATAGACCAGCCTGGAGTTTGTGACCCTTCCTGCCTTACCTTCCCCACGTAACTGGGCTTATAGGCATGCATCATTGTGCCAGGTTAGATTTATATATTTATGGGAAGATTGTAGGATTAGTAAGAACTACAGGAAACCAATAATTGTGTTCCTAATTTTGTCTCTATAAAAGACAACGCAACATTCCCCTTGTGTTTTTGTCTTTTATTTCCTTTGTTCCTAGAATAGCACAAGGGGAGAAAGCAAATAATGACTATACATTGACTTTCTTTTCCATTTTGTTTAAAATAATCTGTGCAAAGCCAGTGAGATAGCTCAGTGGCATAAGTGCTTGCAAGGACCTGAGTTCAATCCCTGGTACCAAATAAAATAAAATCTAAAATAATTTGTGCTAAATATTTTAACTGCCTTTTGCCTCACAAGTAACTAATTTTTTTACTGGTGTCAAATCCAGAGCAATCCTGCCTCAGCCTCTGAGTGCTGGAATTACAGGCATGTGCCAACACAACACCCTTTACCTATGTTTTAAATTTAGAGGAATCTGTTGCTCACAGAGTGGATCTAATCATTTTTAGATCCATTTTATAGAAAAAAAATTTGTTAGTGTAGTAAAATTTTGTCTAGGTTTTTGATTGGTTATTTGGTTTGTCAGAGGAATGGAGGAAGATTAGTCCCACATGATTGATCCCAAATGATCATATCTTTGGGAAGGATGGGTTGGTGTGTATATGTATTGTGATACAAAGGGAAAAACCGCAGTTCAAAGTATTAAGATGGGAAGGTACCTAATAACCAAATATAACTTACTTAGTACTTTCTGTGTATTAAGTGTATCTAGTGAAAGTGAGGCTGAAAATCTTGAAGCACAGCCTCAGTCTACTGTCCGTCCAGAAGAGATCCCTCCTATACCAGAAAATAGATTCCTCATGAGAAAAAGTCCTCCCAAAGCTGATGAGAAAGAACGGAAAAACAGAGAGAGGGAACGAGAGAGAGAGTGGTATGTAAATGTGTGTATTTTATAGTATCCTGTACACTTAGCATAAAGTGTTCATCTTCAAAACTTTTTTAAAAACTTATTTCAGACAAGATTTAATCAGGGGCCGGGGAGATGGCTCAGTGGAATAAGTGCTTCCCTGGCAAGCGCAAGGGCCTGAGTTCAATCCCCGGTTCTGAAAAAAAAAAAAAAAAAGATTTAATCAGTGTCCTGATTCCAGGTTTGAAACTGTCTCCTTTTTTGGCTGTTTAAGAGTTTTACGATGTAGTTCAGGTTTACGATGTAGTTCAAGACAATCGCTTGAACTTACAGCGATTGTCCTGCCTCAGCCTCCCAAGTGCTGGGATTACAGGCATGCACCACCACACCCGGCTAAAATCATCTTTGCTTAATAGAAGCAAGTGAGGGGCTGGGGAAATGGTTCAGTGGAATAAGCTCTTCCCTGGCAAGCGCAAGGGCCTGAGTTCAATCGCCGGTTCCACGGGGGGAAAAAAATAGAAGCAAGTAAGAACCTTTTTAAAAAATTTGTATAATAGGAAAAAGTCCTGTTTTCCTTACTTGATTTTTTTTTTTTTTTTTTCCCTTTTGGCTGGCTCAGGCTGCTTTAAGGGCGGGTCTGTTAAGGCATGAGGAGCTGGGGATGGAACTGCCATATCCTGGGCCTGACTGCGTTTGCATAAGCAGGCACTTAAACAGCTGAGCTAACTGGCAGGCGTCCCCTTTACTTGATTTATAATAATGCAAGTAGATAGCATGTTAAGTACTTTGAATGTTTTTCTGCATAAATCCACATTTTTAATGTCAATACTTGTGTTGATTTATTTAGTCATCTTAATGATTATGTTCAAAATTTAAAAGTAATTATGATACAGATGCAGTCATAATATACAAATAATACAATTCTTAATGACCCTCTTTCACAATACAACAAAAATGAGTTATTTTTTAAAAATTTATTTGAAACTTGGAGTAATTTTGTTCTGTTGGATTGAGTTTATTTTTCTGCTAGTATGGAAAAAATTTCTAAGAAAGATTAAAGGGAAATATTTAAACTACTCTTTAGTTAACTGTACTTCAGTGAACTTTTCAAATGTCATTTTCATAGATATTATTAATACCAATACCAATTTTTGTTATTTGACTTTTTTATGTAATGCTTAAAAAATAATTGATTAATACTAACCAGGCTGGGGAGATAGCTCGGTGGCATAAGGGCCTGTCTAGCAAGTGCAAGATTATGAGCTCAATTCCGGTACCACATGCTGAGCTTCCCCAGAACCAGGCGTGATGGCGCACATCTATAATCCTAGCACTAGGGAGGCTGAGACAGGAGGATCACTCTGAGTTCAAGCTGCATGATATCAAAAATAAAATTAAAATAATGAATTACTTACCAGTGTTTCTTAGCAGGGCCTGACTGGCATTTAGGGGAAGAATAGTTCATTTTGACACCGTATAAGATTCTAACATTTCAGACTCATGAGATCTGACTACAAGTAACATTTTGTAGTGTTTTCTTGTTTGTTTAAAAAAAGAAAACAACTCCTATGCTTTTCCAGGTATTTCCCAGGACCTGATAGCATTTTTTTTTATTTTTTAAATTTAAATGATGAATTTATTAATAAGATTACATCCAATGCGGTGTTTTTATTTTTTTTATTTTTATTTTTTTTATTTAAAAGCTGAATTTATTAATAAGATTACATCCAATCCTGATAGCATTTTAAATTAAGAACTACTGATTATTTTTAGAATTTTCAGTTAAGATCAGCACAGCTGTGTCTCCAGATTCACTTTTGTAATAGTAATGTGTTTTAACTTTCCCTTGCTTTTTCCTAGTAATGCACCTAACTCCCAGCCTGCTTCATACCAGCGACGACTCTTAGTTACTAGATCCGGCAGGAAAATTAAAGGAAGAGGACCAAGGGTAGGTGATTCTTCACCAAAACAATCTTAACATTGGATTTATCTTCCTTAAATAACAAGAGTGCCCTGGATGTGTAGTAGAGTGCTTGCCTAATAGGTATAAGGTTCTAAGTTGCATCCCTAGCACTATAATATATATCTATGTATATTTTTAAATGTTTCTTTAAAATATTATTTACAATACATGTTACAATTTCTCTCTTTTTATTTTTTTCTTTTTGACATGAGGTCTTGCTGTGTAGTTCAGGATGGACTTGAACTCACTGTGTAGCCCAATCTGTCCTTAAACTCATGGCATTCCTCCTGCTTCAGCCTCCCAATTGTTGAGTGTCTATACATGAGTCAGCATGTCTGGCTAAAAAATTTTTTTTTTAATTTTTATTTTATTTTATTTTATTTGGCAGAACCAGGGATTGAACTCAGGCCCTTGTGCTTGCCAGGGAAGCAGTAAAAAATTTTTTTTGTATAGTCAGGTTTGTGTGTTGGTACTTTCAAACTGAAGAAAATCTTCAAGATTTAAACAGTTTATGTGGGCTGGTGAGATGGCTCAGTGGTCTAAAGCACCTACTTAGAACAAGCTTAGCAAAACACAGGGACTGCGGTTCAATCCCCCAGCACCACATGCCAGCCAGCCCGCCCCCTGGTGGGCTGAGCTGGCCACACAGACACATACACACACTAATAAAATAAAATTTAGTAATGCTTTATATAGCTATTATCTATAATACTGGATCTATAAATATTTTAAAAAAACAGTTTTTGTGTTTATATGGCATAAAGTGGGGTCAAGGTTTTTTGGTCCTTTTTTTTTTTTTTTTTTTTAAAGACAGGATCTCATTCTAATTCGTACTGGCCTTGAACTCACTGTCTAGCCCAGAATGGCCTCAAGCTCACTGTTATTCATATATTTGAGTTTTTCTTCTCCCACTATTCTGCTAAAAAATAGTGTTTGCTTCGTGGTCAGTGCCATCACAAAAGAAATCTACTGGATCGGTTTGGTCTCCCATCTCAGTAAATCTTACTCCTTATAATAGCTCTCTTGTACTTTCATCACACTTTTCCCCCATCTCTGTGGCCAGTCTCTGTTAAAATTCCAGTACTAGTTCATATTCCTATAGCCAGCCTTTAAATAATGTAATATCTCAAGCTTTTTCTCTTTACAGTACACATGCTCTTTGGGCAGTCTTATTAATCTCATGGTTGATAACTCAGAACTCTCTTATTCATATATATTTTATTCATCCTCAAATCCTATTAGTTTTACCTCCTTGTTACACTGAAAACTTACTTTCCAAGCTCCACTCCCACCTTGTTCATTCAAATCATCATAGTGTCATACAGTTTCCCAACTTATATTTTGGTTATACTCAAAGTCTTTTATTTCCTACTGTTTTACATTATTAAATTGCTGTAGCACTGTGGCATAAATCTATATTCTCACCTACTTGAGAACCTGAGGCTTGCAAGTTCAACAGCAGCCTGGCAACTTGTAAGACCCTGTCTCAAAATAAGAACATTTGAAAAGGGGTGGGAATATAGTTAAGTGGTAGAGCACTTGCCTAGCACGTGAAAGTCCTGGATCAACTGTGGGTGGGTGGGTGGGTGTAATTTGTTTGAGGGCTTAGAAGAGCTTTTATTAATAGAGTATTTGCTCTTTTATTTATTTATTTTTATTTATTTATATTTTAGGGAAGGGTCTACAGGGTGTTCAGGGTCTTACTGCTAGATCAGACTCATAGTGATCCTCCTGTTTACAGCCTCCCAAGAGCTGGGATTACAGGCACAGGTCACCATGCCCAGTCTCAATTGCCATCTCAGTGCACCCTGGGGGTGGGCCAGCACAGCAGGCCTGGGAATTGAACCACCACCCCCTGCGCTTGCTTGCAGGTGCTTTAATCCACTGAGCTATTTGGCCGGCTCCTAAGCGTACATTCCAGTAGATAAGAACATAGTGACATCAAAATATACTATATAGTCTCTGAATAACTCCATGGTATGAACATGACAGGACAAAAGTAAAAAATGAAAATGATAAGTTATGACTAATTCCCCCTTGTCTTGAGATCTTTTGGTCACTTTTTAAAATTTTTTTTTAAATTTATTTTGCAGAACTGGGGATTGAACTCAGGCCCTTGCGCTTGCCAGGCAAGCGCTTATTCTACTGAGCCATCTCCCCGGCTCTTTCTTTAAAATTTTAAATAAAACAATTTATTATTCAGTTATGATTAGTCAAGTCTATTTTTCTACATAACTTGTGAATTTTTCAACATCAAGTATTTTTATCATTTGCTTGGCCACTGTCTTCATTGTTCCTTCTACATTGCCATGCTATACCTGAGGCAATGAAGTATTTTTAACAATTGCCAGAGGACTTGTACGTTCATTTGCAGCTATTTTATTACATGCAATTTTCCTCAGTTATCTTCTGTGATAAGTTCTTGAAAAATATTGTCCACAACCTTCATGTATCTTCAAAATGCATTTTTTAGTTGTATGTTGAACAGCCTAGAGACGGACCCCGGGGCGCTTCCCCCCCACCCCCCAATGGCTGACATGACCCGCTCGCCTCGCTGCTCCGGAGACTGCCTTGGTCACACTTTAAGAGTCACTAAGCTCATACTATATTGAAAATGAAACCTGATTATGTTATTCCCTTGCCATTGATCTTAGGATAAATCCTTTTTGATTTTTTGAAATTATTTTATAGCACTGAGAATTAAACCCAGAGCCTTCATACTGCACTACATCCCTAGCCCCTACCCACCCCTTCCCCTTTTTTTTTAAATCTTGCAAAGGGGTTTGGCTAAATTGTGTAGGCTGAGCTTAAACTTGAGATTCTCTTTCCTCAGCCTCCCACAATTGGTATCCCAGGTATGTAGCAGGAAAATCCATAATTACTACTGTAGCCTGTAAGACACAGGCCTGGATTATGTCATCAGTATATCGAATCTTTTTTCCCTTGCAATTTTTAGATTTAGCTGACTTGTCTGCTAACTATTTCTAAAATAATGCTGTTTCTGTCTCAGACCTTTAGTATCATATTTTTTGTGCTTTATATGTTTTTCCTCATCTGTCCTTAGCCCCCTTTCCAGTTTTTATAATTTTAATTGATCATAGTCTTTACTAAATCAGATTTCTTTGTTACTTATTCTATGAGCACCTTTTTTCTTTTTGTACTCATTCTGTTATAGTTGTATGGATGTTTCAGCTCCTTGGCTTACTGTATTACCTTTGGTGTGTGATAAAGTAGTTGACCATCCTAAGGGCTAAATAAATATTGGTTGACTCGAACATCTGTTCTTGCTCTGTTTTTCTCATATTTGCTCTGGAGTATCAAGTATAAATAATATGCAAATTGGGACTTGACAAATTGTAAGAGTTTATATACCTACTGTGTACTAGTATCCCTTAGGGTAGGACTCTTCCACAGGGATATGTGGTCCTAGAATTTCTGTGATTAATGTTTTGTACTTGGAATTTGCATTGTGACTAGAGTTTCTCTGTCATATTGATTTCCTACCTGAAAGATGGGGGATTTTAGTAATTTTGTTTATTGATGGGTTAATTAATTGGTTCTGTGTCTCATAGGGCCTCATTCTTAGCAAGCTATGTTCTACCACTCAGCCACACCAGCAGAGGACACAGAAATACCATTTTTAAACCTATAAATATACATGCTTTTGCTACTGTATTGCTTTTAAGTTTTTATATGTTAATTATTTTCCCTTTCTTACCTTCTTAAGCGTTATCGAACTCCTTCCAGATCCAGATCAAGGGATCGTTTCCGACGTAGCGAGACTCCTCCACATTGGAGGCAAGAGATGCAGAGAGCGCAGCGAATGAGGGTGTCAAGTGGTGAAAGATGGATCAAAGGGGATAAGTAAGATCAACTGTGGTTGCAAATGTAGTGATAAGTATTTTAACTGTTGTACATAAAATTATTTTACTGATATAGCTATGTTATTTGTATATACCTTAGTAAAAATATCTTTTTAACTAATAATTACATTGGTCTTTTACTAATATTTCCAAAAATGCTTTTTTCTTCTTATTGTCAGGAGTGAATTGAATGAAATGAAAGAAAATCAAAGGAGCCCAATTAGAGTAAAGGAGAGAAAAATAACTGATCACAGACATGTGTCTGAAAGTCCCAATAGAAAAAATGAAAAGGAAAAGAAAGTTAAAGAGCATAAATCTGACAGCAGAGAGAGAGAAATCAGAAGAAATTCAGAAAAAGAAGATAAATATAATAAAAACAAAGTGAAGAAAAGGGCCAAATCTAAAAGTAGGAGTAAGAGCAAAGAAAAATCAAAGAGTAAGGAAAGAGATTCAAAACACAACAGACATGAAGAAAAGAGATTGAGGTCAAAGAGTAAAGAAAGGGATCATGAGAATGTTAAAGACAAAGAAAAGCAACCTGATTCTAAAGGAAAAGATCAGAAAAGGAGTAGAAGTAAAGAGAAGTCTAAGCAACTAGAATCAAAAAGTGATGAGCATGATCATAGTAAAAGTAAAGAAAAGGATAGACGTGCACAGTCCCGGAGTAGAGAACGTGACGTGACTAAAGGTAAACACAGTTACAATAGCAGAACCAGAGAACGGAGCAGAAGTAGGGACCGCAGCAGAAGAGCACGATCCAGGAGCCATGACAGAGATCGCAGCAGAAGCAAAGAATACCACAGGTACAGAGAGGAGTACAGGAGAAGAGGGCGATCACGAAGCCGAGATAGAAGAGGGACACCGGGAAGATCGAGGAGTAAAGAGAGGAGGAGGAGGAGGAGAGAGTCTCGGAGCTCGGAGAGAGAGGAAAGTCAGAGCAGAAACAAGGAAAAACATAGAAGCCAGGAAAGCAGGAGCTCACACAGAAAAGAAAACTCTGAGAGTGAAAAAAGAATGTACTCTAAAAATCGTGATCATAACAGCTCAAGTAGTAACAGGGAGAAAAAGGCTGATAGAGATCAAAGTCCATATTCTAAAATAAAGCAAAGCAGCCAAGACAGTGAGAAGTCCTCCACATCAAAGAATAAGGAGGATGAGAAGAGGAGGATGAGAAGACCAGATCCTCAGTGGAAAACGAAAACCAAAAATCAAAGGCTCAAGAAAATGACCATGTACATGATAAAAACAAAAAATTTGATCATGAATCAAGCCCTGGAACAGATGAAGACAAAAGTGGATGAGTGAGTTGTGTAAATTTATTTCCTTTCTGTCTCAAAATTTAAGTTTTAGAGACTTGGCTGGTGAATATCCTTTATGTTGTTTTCATTGTTTTTGTTTTTTTTTTTTTGTTTTGTTTTTTTTATGTCTCTTTTTGTTTTTGTTTTTTAATGTGGACTTCATTGAGTTGATCTTTTGATAATCTGCAACCTGGATAATTTGTACTGGATAAATTTGTACTGCTAAAGTTTTAATAAACTTGAAATGAGAAAAACATTTTGGTGTAACACTGTGTGCTGTGTTGAACTATTTTATGTATACATTTTTGTGTTGCAACGGTCAGCCAGCAGCATCCTAATTTGTTTAATCAGTCATTTGAAACAAGCATAACTGATGGTTGCACTTGTTATGAAAGCTTGTGTTTCTTGCAGTTAACATAACTAGGCACCGCTAGAGCAAATTTTGTGTAGATTTTGATTGAATTTATAATGCAGGCCTGTAGCAATTTAATTACACAGAAATAGGGTCCTGATAATTTGAGATCTTAAGTCATCACTTTTGATTTTATAGTTACTTGTACTTTTAGATGAAAATTTATTTAGTTATCGATCTTGTGTTTCATACCTTCATAATATTTTTCTAATTTGTTTTATTTGCATGTCTATAAAAATGTTACAAGAATTTTTTCAGTTAATGTGCTGATTGAACTTGAATTGCTGTTACACAGCATTTTATAGGAAGATCAGAGTGTAATTCTCAGTTTTTGTTGGTTTTGGTCTGAAGAGTTGAAATTACTGCTTAATGAGAACATTATTTTATTATTTTTACTTTCTTTTCCTAAAATAAAAAAATTCTTAATAAAGCATACAACTTCTCCCAGTCCTTAAGCTAGACAGATTCTAAAAAGTGTTAGTGTTAATACATTAACTTCTAAGATTTCTCTTTTTTGGCCACCAACCTGTATAGCATTAAGTGTTAATTCTGCATGGTTTTTGTTTTTGTTTTTGTTTTTGTTTTTTGAAACTTGAAGTATCTTTTCTCTCCTAGCTGTGAGTATCAAATGGCCAAAACAAGAAAAAAAGAACAAAACAAAACAAAAAAAAGCATCTTTCTATAAATGTATGATGATAGGCTATAGCATGTTTATGACTCTGGTTTCTTTTTATTCAGGTGGCTTTATGGCTTTATACCATTACTGTTAACATTATTTTAACTCGGCATGTGTAATATTGCCATGTAGAGTAAAATAAAAAGTTGCAAAATTTGGTAGCTCTCAGAATTAAACACTAAACATATCCAAAGTTTATTCAGAATTTTATGTGCTGTATTTTGTCATCTTTGTGATGTGTGGCCTTTTATTCTGTAACATCTCTTCTAAATAAAACATTGAACATACAGCAAACACAAAACCTGCCTCATTTTCAAAGAAATTTCAAAATTCCAATCAATAGTGAACTCTAGAGTTTTGTATTTTAATATTTGTCAATATAGTGTTAACTTTATTACCAGGGTAGATTCTTGATAACTCCATTAGTTACCCAGTGCTATTTGTACTTAATAAAGTGATACTTAGCATAATATTTCCCATTATTGACTAATAATAGTAATCATTTGGCACTATACCTGTTGCAGAATAGTATACTGATTATATCTCTGTTTGAACTGTCTTGAAATAAATAGCCTGAGTGGATTTTTTTCCACATTTTATTTCCTAGTGATAAAAGTAGTAGATGTTTATTATAATTCAGGGTCATTCGTTAGGAACTGACTACGGACCCACATTAAGAATTACTGAGCCTGTCTAAGCTCTATGATCTGTTACGTTATATTTTAAGTTGTTGGCTTACAAATTCAGTAAATTGAGTCTTAAAATGTCAGATTAGTTGAGCTTCAAGACAGGTACTATTTAAGAAAGAATTTGTGATAATACATGTATATTTTTTAAAGTCCATGCTAAGAACCCAGAGCTTTATCTATTAAGAATATTGACAGGTACTTTCCAGATTTTGAGTTTCAAAAAGTAGCCACAGGGAGAAAAGGTAATTCCATAAGCGGTGTTGTCCTGTTTGAGTTACCAAAAGGACTCCATGTGAAGCATTATTAAACAAACAAACAAAGCTTCGTTAGCTGTTTTACAGAACAGATTGAAAAAGGACAATCAATTAAATTTTATTTTCAGAGTACAAAAGAAAATTAGAAAATGATTAGGAAGAATTAATTGTACACCACACTTGGATCTAAATAGCACAAGGCTCAATGAAGGGGTCCTTTCCTCATATGACATTTTTTAGTAGTTGTGCCATCTTTAGTGTTTACTTTGGACATTGTCTGTTTGCCCAAAGAATCAGCTATTTTTCTCATCACATTGATTTTATAGTTGTATCTAAGTCTGTGTGAGTTACCTGCCCCAGAGCTGGTACTAGAGAAAGACTGATAAATATTGGAGAAGGAACTGGGTTATTGTTTAAAAGAAATTTTACTCTATAGTTGGCAAGTTCAGAGGTTATGTAGTATCTTGTAAGTTAACTAATTGAGGCCCTCAGAAATGCAAGGAGTTTATCTGATGAAGTCTCTGCACTGATGTTGATGCATGTTGGGTTTGCTGAATGGCCTTTAATTCTTGTGCTCAATGGAAGATGTGAAATTCTACAAGATTTTGTTACAGACAGGCACGTATTAGGTTTTTAGTATTTTGGGTAATAGTAATAATTGATAATTATAATTTATTTTCTAGTTAGTTTTGGGGAGCAAATGAGTATGCTTTTTAGTAGTTGTCCTTTGCTCTAGGTGGTAATTTTCATCACACTGAGCTTTTTTGTAAATTTCTGTAGAATCTTTGGGCTTGCCTTCCCTAGAAGGTACTTTAAATATACACCATATAGCTAATTGGTATGAAGACAAAATGGTATTTTTCTGTCTCATTTTGCTTATGTTTACTATAATTATTCCCTTAGTAATTATTCCCTTTTATAGTTGAATAAATTCTCCATGGCTTGAAGGTTGTGAAATTTTTATTGTGAAAATTTGTGTTTTATTACAAATATTTGCTTGGAGGAAAAAATGCCCCAGGAAGTTCAGTGTTGGATGACACACCTGCTATGGTGGGCCTCCCAGCTGCCTGTAAGGGACTCCGGCAGAGGCAAACTCTAGCCTGTTGTGTGACAAAGAAGTAAATATTAAAGGGAAAAAAACGCACAAATCATATGAAATGAATTCCATCAGCAAGGTTGGAGAAGGGAGTCGGTGCAGGTGTTTTCGGTTTTAGGTGTGGAGATGGATGGTGGGATTGATTGTGTGTCATCTCCCCATGCCCCAGCAGATTTCATCCTACCCAAAGCACATGCTGTATATTTTCTTCCTCTTTTGTGTGTTCATAGTATTTTCAAAGACCGATAAATGAATTGAGTATTTCTGTGTGTGGACATATTCAAAATTGTGGCTGCTTTTCGTGGAAGGGGAAACATAAGGAAGTTACTGCACTTCTTTTCTTAGCTCAGAAGTCACTGTGATGTATATTTTTTTAATGAAATTTAGAAATAAAATTGTCTCCTCAATTGTAAAAATTAGTTTCAAAATGCTGCTTCTCCTATCATTAGTAACTGTTGGACTGTTTTCCGCAACTGCATTTTACAAAATTTAAACTTCAAAACTGTATTAACTTTTATAGTTAAACATTGTATTAAATAAACTGTACTATAACAAACAGTTTGGATTTGTATTTTTTAAATTATTGTATTAGTTACTTGCCTTTTTTTTCTTTTCATTAAAGCTAAATAATGAAAATAAACCGACTGAAATGCACTTGCATTTAACCATTGGAAATAGAAAATGTGTTGTGAGACAAGCAAAGCTTAATAAGATTAAGCTTCTTTTAAAAATTCGAGCCAGGTGTGGTGGCACATCCCTGGAATCCCAGCACTCAGGAGGCTGATGCAGGAGGATTGCTAGGAGTTCAGAGCCAGCCTGCATTGCAGAGTGAGTTCAGGGCCAGCTGAACTACATTGTGAGACCTTGTCTCAAAAAAGAAAAAATGTTAGCAGTGATAATAGCCAGGTTTGGAAGTAAATTCTGTTGTAAACATTTTAATCACGTTTCTGTTTGCATTATGTCTTTTGCCTTAGCAAACTTTTTTGCCATTTCCTTTTATTTATTGGTTTATTTTAAGTTTATTGGTACATTTTATACATAATAACCACATTCGTTATAGAGAATTTGTACCTGTCAGCAAACTTTTAGTGTGAAACTTGGTACTTGCCTTCTTGTCTACTAAAATACTATCATTTGCTTTTTAATTCCTCCAGATTTCTCACCACTAGGACTATGGCAGTGTATTCTGTGCCTATCATTTTAATATTCTATTGTAAAGCCATATAAATTATAACTTTTGTAAAACAAAATGTCTAGTTTTTATTTGGTTCTATTTTTATTTAATTTAGACATTTAGGAAAAATGAACTTGGTTAACTTGAGAGTAAGTGGAAATATATGCACAGCTGGTAACATTCCTGCCCAGGATGGTCCCCGTCAGTGGTTTGTGTTAACAGGTGAATTGTAAAACTCCAAATCTGACGTGTATTTAAATGCTTTAGCCAGAGGAATATGGAAAATATGAGTGCTACATATATAAACTGCCAATGGAGTATTAAAGTACTTTCAGCAATAATTTGTTCTATTTTCTGTACTTTTTTTTTTTTTTTTTTTTTTTTTTTTTATTGAACTCAGGCGCTTGTACTTGCCAGGGGAGCACTTATTCCACTGAGCCATCTCCCTGGCTCCTGTACTTCATTTTTTTTAAAGATGGGGTTTCCTGCTCTTGCCCACACTGGCCTTGAAATCAGGATCTCCACAAGCCTCCTGAACAGCTGGGATCACAGGCACGCACCACTGCGCTACGCTTTTTACTCTAGGTCTCCTGAACATTCCCTTAATACACTTACCTTTTTTTTTAAGTGCCATCTCAAAATTTTTATACCCCCCTCAAGTGTTCAAAGTGCTTCGGTTTATTAAATTTGTCAATTTCTCTTCAAATTACAGCTATTTGTGTACTGTACCAGTTTTTCACTAATTGTTTTGTGATTTGCATAACCTTATGATGTACTCTGGTCATGTACGCTTGTATTCTGAAAGTCCAGCCCAATTGAAAGTAAATAAATTGTATATGTATGGCAGAAAAACTAGTAGGGCTGATCCTTCACTCAGGAAAAATTGATTATACATCTATTTTATGTGATTTACTGCAGACATTCCTCATTCAATAACCAGGTTTTATAACTTGTTGGTTTGATTGCTAAATGAACTATTTTGTGTACAGTATTCACAACAAATGTTTAAGGAAGACTCTGAACTTGATGACTAACAGCTATGGTGCTGTGTTGTACAGGACAATCACCAAAAACTACAATGCTGTAGAAGCAAAGGTGCACTGTGCCAAAAAAGTTGAGGCTTTGTAAACAAATTGTACAGAACTGTGCAAAGAAAAGATGGGTCATAAGCCTGAGCAATGGGTTGTAAATCCAAACTGCGTACCTCAGTTGTAAGTCTGAATTGTTAAATGAGCAATGTCTCTTGTAAAAAACTTCTACAATATGAAGGTAGTTTTTGCCTAAAATAACTTTTCTTTATAGTTATGGTTCTATTGAACCCATGGCCTCGTGCATACTTAGCAAGTGATTTACCGCAAGGCTACACTTAGAGGCTTTATTTATTTATTTTGGTGGGGTTTTTTTGTTTTTTTTTTTTTTTAGAGAAGGGTCTATAGGGTGTTCAGGGTCTCACTGCTAGATTGGACTTGTAGTGATCCGCCTGTTTACAGCCTCCCAAGAACTGGGATTACAGGCGCACCACAAGGCCCGGTCTCAATTGAGATCTCAGCGTGCTCCGGGGGCGGGGCCGGCAAGGCAGGCCCAGGGATTGAACCCCCAGCCCATGTGCCTGTTTGCAGGTGCTTTAATCAGCTGAGCTATTTGGCCAACCCTTTAGAAGTTTAAAAGGAAAGTCTGTGTGACAAGTTTCCACATTTTGTTCACATTGTCCCTTGCATTCCAGTATCAACATGGTGTTACCCCGAGGGTAATACCTAACTTTGGAATAGTTCACCTAGCTAAAGTATATCCTAACAATTTTTTGATGCTGCTTACAGGTATCTGAGATTTTTATTTTGGGGAAGCTGTTGAGATAGGGTCTTATATTCAGGCAGGCCTTGAACATGTGATGAGCCCCTTACCTGAGTGCTGGGCTTACAAGTATGTACTGCCACACCCCATTTAAAATTTTAAAATCATGACCTCAAAACCCCTGGCGTTAGATTTCATACCTGTTGGGGCTGGGGAGATAGCTCAGTTGAGTAAGTGCTTGCCTGGCAAGCACAAAGTCCTGAGTTTGATCCCTGGTACCACCAAAAAATAAAAAATAAATAGATTTCAAACCTGTTCCCACCCTTTTTCCTCATTACATAGATTTCTATGTAGTACCTGAATATTAATCACATCAACTGAGACTATACAGAAGAAACAGTGGATTTTTTTTTTTTTAAGTCAGGTTATTTAATGCAGGGTCTTGCTGTGCGGTTCACACTCATAGTGATCCCTCCTGTCTCAACCTCCCTAGCACTAGGATTACAGGTGTGCACCACCATACCCAATTTCGTGCCTGGGATTCTGGGGCTCACGGAGCAGGCAGTACTGGGGATACAAACTGGTCATTGTGCTGGCCAGGCAGGGACTTAAGACTGCCGAGCTGTGTTCCCAGCCCAGAACAGTAGATTTAATTTTAACTCAAACTAGTAACCTGTGTCACTTTGTTGATACTACATAGCGTTTTCTCTTTGAAAAATTGAAATGTTCACCAGCTCTTTTTGTGAATACATTGTGGCTCCTTGGCCTCTTACCTTTGCAGTTTTAGAATTTATGGAGT